CCCCTCCCTCTTTCATCTGTGGCTGTAGCCCCGCCCCCACTGCTGTTGACGTTAGCGGAAGGAAGCGCCCAGCTTGGGGCAGTGACGTTGTGGAGCGGCGGGGCCCGGCCCCGGCTCGAGGCCGGCAGCATGTGGGGGGCGGCCGATGCGGTGAGTGCGACGGGGGCGGCGCTTCCCGCCCGGCCCCTCCCCCCCGGGCCCGCGCTAGGAACTCGCTCGCCCGCGGCCCAGCGACAGCAGCCCCCCGCCCGGGGAGAAACGCCCCGGCCCCGAGCCGGTCCGGCTCCGCCCGCTGCGGCAGCCCCACATCCCGGCAGTGCGGGGCAGACCCGTGTCGGGCTGGGCGGCGGGCGCTGTTTGTGGGGGAGGGGGGTGTAGGATTTATATCCCCCCTCCCCCCAGTCAGCGCGGCCAGGCCAGCAAAGGACAGGAAGTGACGCTCCCAGCGAGCAGGGGGAGCTGCAAGGGGGGACATGAGAACTGGGTCAGACCAATGGTCCATCTAGCCCAGTGTCCTGTCTTCCCACAGTGACCAGTGCCAGGTGCATCACTGGGCAATTATGGCATGATCCATCCCTTGTCCTCCACTCCCTGTTCTTTTCTGAACCTTGTTATACATTTGGCCTCCACAACATCCCCTGACAACAAGTTCCACAGGTTGGGCCTTGCATGAAGAAATATTTCCTTTTTGTTTGTTTTAAATCGGCTGCCTGTTAATGTCATTGGGTGACCCCTGGTTCTTGTGTTCTGTGAAGGGGTAAATAATGCTTCCTTATTTACTTTCTCCACACCATTCTTTTCCTAGGGTTTTTTTTATATCTTCTGACTTTAGCTCATATGCTTTATGCATCCCCAGTGCACTGGCCAAAAAACCCCACCTCAATTCAAAATTGCTTCTACCGATCTTTTGAGAAACCTTCCCTCAAACTACGCTCTCCCATTCTTCCTTTAAAATAGGATTCTTCCCATGTAACCCATTCCCTAAGAAAAGGTCAGACTGCTATTATTATTATCTGTTTGTATTGCGGTAGCTGTCAGGAGCCCCAGATATGGACCCCATTGTGCTTGGTGCTATGCAAACAAAGAACAAAAAGACAGTCCCTATCCCATGATGACCGGAGACAACAGATAGATTATTGATTTGGTTATTTAACTGGTTTTGGTAGGAAAGCTTTCGCAAAGAGGCAGATCTAGGTGGTTAAGCTCCAGGTTAGTCTGAATTCCTCTTGGAGCTCTTTCTATAACTCTCAGATGAGAGCACTATATTTCTGCAGTTCGTCTTGTGAGCTGCATTGTCCCAGAGGTGTGCAGCTGTCTTGACGGGGCATGGATGGAGATGTGATCACAGATGTGAAACTGTAGCTGGTTTCTAGTCCACTAATGACCTTTAAGCCCACTGCCAAGGCCTTGAACCGACACTGGAAATGTGCTGGGAGGACAGTGGTGATGTACGTAAGGTTGTCCATCCCAGTGAGGAGGTGAGCAGCTGCATTGTAAAGAATTTGGGGAAGGCATTCTTTTCATGTTAGCTCCCAGATAAAGTGGATTACCGTAATCCAGTCTGTAAGTAACATACATATCACTGTGACTAAATCTTTATCAGGGACCAAGGAGCGAACTGAAAGAGAAGACTTGCCTTTACCACCAATGTTACTTGGTGATTTAGCATCAATGATGAATCATACAGGATCCTGAGACTTCATACCATGTTGACAAATGAGGGGGCTGTGGAGATGCCCTCTGTGGATATGTCTACATTGCAATGTAAACCCAGGATTAGTGGGACTCGAGTCAGGCTTGAGTGTCTACATTGTATTTTAACCCTAGGTTAAGAATTTTCTGACCCATGTTTGAACTTAGGTGCTCTGGTGTCCACACTGCAGTGTACAGACCTGAGTCAAAGTAATCATATCCCACAATCCCTAGTGCCACACAACTGAAATGTGGCTACTCTAGCCATAGGACTGAGGTGCACTGTGGGAATACATTACTGCCTGCCCTGTACATTACCAAGAAGCAGCTCGCTTTGCAGAAGGCTTGATCAGTTCACTCTCCGTTGCAAACTAAGGAGGCTCTCTGATAGTGTGCCTGCAGATCGGTGATCAGAACAGAATGGATTAACGCTGACTTGAACTGCTGCAGTTGGCTTCCATTTTCAATAGAGTGGATTGAAGATTGTTGGGATAGAGAGGACTAAGGAAGTTGTCCCATGGAATAGTGGAATACTTTCGGATGACTCCCGGGATCTGAATCAAGCAGGGCTGCATCTATACTGCAAAGCAGTAGGGCTCGGACCCTGGCTCCCAGCTTGATTCAAACTTGGACCCTGGGCCCTGCCTTGATTTGAGGTTGAACCCTCTAGCCCTGCAGGGTCCTGGGACCATGGGTCTGAGCCCTGGGTTAGCACAATTACAGTGTAGACGCGGGGGGGGTTAGCCTTGAGCCCAGGCTCAAGCATGAGCTTATATTGTAATGTAGACTTACCCTGTGGGTATGTCTACACAACAAAATTAGGTCCAATTTATGGAAGTCGATTTTTTTTTTAAGAAGCTATTTTATACAGTCGATTGTGTCCCCCCCCCGTAAGCGCATTAAGTCGGCGGAGTGCGTCCACAGTACCGAGGCTAGCATCAACTTTCGGAGCGTTGCACTGTGGGTATCTATCCCACAGTTCCCGCAGTCTCCGCCGCCCATTGGAATTCTGGGTTGAGCTCCCAATGCCTGATGGGGCAAAAACATCGTCGTGGGTGGTTTTGGGTACATATCATCAGTCGCCCCTCCCTCCGTGAAAGCAATGTCAGACAATCGTTTCGCGCCTTTTTTCCGTGCGGGCACCATACTGCTTTCAGCAGACAGTGCAGTAGGACTGCTAACCGTCGTCATCGAACGACCGCTTCTGCTGCCACTCTGCTCTCCTGCTCTGGCCGCAGATGGTGCAATAGGTCGGAAAAACTGGTCTTCCAACCACCGCTTCTACTGACACTCTGCTCTCCTGCAGATGCCATACCACGGCAAGCATGGAGCCCGCTCAGATCACCGCAGCAGTTATGAGCATTGTAAACACCTCACGCATTATTCTGCAGTATGTTCACAACCAGAACCTGCAAAAGCAGGCAAGGAGGTGACGGCAGTGCAGTGACGAGAGTGATGAGGACATGGACACAGACTTCTCTCAAAGTACAGGCCCCGGCAATTTGGACATCCTGGTGGCAATGGGGCAGGCTAATGCTGTGGAATGCCGATTCTGGGCCCGGGAAACAAGCACAGACTGGTGGGACCGCATAATGTTGCAGGTCTGGGATGATTCCCAGTGGCTGCGAAACTTTTGCATGCATAAGGGCACTTTCATGGAACTTTGTGACTTGCTTTCCCCTGCCCCGAAGCGCAAGAATACCAAGATGAGAGCAGCCCTCATAGTTGAGAAGCGAGTGGCGATAGCCCTGTGGAAGCTTGCAACGCCAGACAGCTACCGGTCAGTCGGGAATCAATTTGGAGTGGGCAAATCTACTGTGGGGGCTGCTGTAATCCAAGTAGCCAACACAATCACTGAGCTGCTGCTATCAAGGGTAGTGACTCTGGGAAATGTGCAGGTCGTCATGGATTGCTTTGCTGCAATGGGATTCCCTAACTGTGGTGGAGCGATAGACGGAACGCATATCCCTATCTTGGGACCGGATAGGGTGACCAGATGTCCTGATTTTAAAGGGTCAGTCCCAATTTTTGGGTCTTTTTCTTATACAGGCTCCTATTACCCCTCACCCCGTCCCGATTTTTCACACTTGCTATCTGGTCACCCTAGGACCGGACCACCTTGGCAGCCAGTACATAAACTGCAAGGGGTACTTTTCAATGGTGCTGCAAGCACTGGTGGATCACAAGGGACATTTCACCGACATCAACGTGGGATGGCCAGGAAAGGTACATGACGCTCGCATCTTCAGGAACTCTGGTCTGTTCGAACAGCTGCAGGAAGGGACTTACTTCCCAGACCAGAAAATAACCATTGGGGGATGTTGAAATGCCTATAGTTATCCTTGGGGACCCAGCCTACCCCTTAATGCCATGGCTCATGAAGCCATACACAGGCACCCTGGACAGTAGTAAGGAGCAGTTCAACTATAGGCTGAACAAGTGCAGAATGGTGGTAGAATGTGCATTTGGATGTTTAAAAGCACGCTGGCGCAGTTTACTGACTTGGTTAGACCTCAGCGAAACCAATATTCCCATTGTTATTGCTGCTTGCTGTGTGCTCCACAATATCTATGAGAGTAAGGGGGAAACGTTTATGGCAAGGTGGGAGGTTGAGGCAAATCGCTTGGCCGCTGATTATGCGCAGCCAGACACCAGGGCGGTTAGAAGAGCACAGCAGGGCGCGCTGCGCATCAGAGAAGCTTTGAAAACCAGTTTCATGATTGGCCAGGCTACGGTGTGAGAGTTCTGATTGTTTCTCCTTGATGAAAACCCACCCCCTTGGTTCACTCTACTTCCCTGTAAGCCAACCGCCCTTCTCCCTTCGGTCACCGCTTGCAGAGGCAGTAAAGTCATTGTTGTTTCAAAATCATGCATTCTTTATTAATTCATCACACAAATAGGGGGATAACTGCCAAGGTAGCCCGGGAGGGGTAGGGGAGGAGGGAAGCACCGGGTGGGGTGGGGGAGGAGGGAAGGACAAGGCCACACTGTACTTCAAAACTTACTGAATGCCAGCCTTCTGTTGCTTGGGCAGTCCTCTGGGGTGAAGTGGTTGGGTGCCCGGAGGCCCCCTCCCCCCCGCGTTCTTGGGCGTCTGGGTGAGGAGGCTATGGAACTCGTAGAGGAGGGCGGGCCGTTACAGAGGGGCTGCAGTGGCAGTCTGTGCTCCTGCTGCCTTTCCTGCAGTTCAACCATACGCCGGAGCATATCAGTTTGATCCTCCAGTAGCCTCAGCATTGCATCCCGCCACCTCTCCTCTTGCTCCCGCCACCTTTCCTCTTGCTCATCCCTCCTATCCTCGCATTCATTTTCTGCTTTCCTGGACTCTGCCATTGTTTGCTTCCACACATTCTGCTGAGCTCTTTCAGTGTGGGAGGCCTGCATGAGCTCAGAGAACATTTCATCGCAAGTGCGTTTTTTTGGGGGTTTTTTGCCTTCTTATCTGCGCTAGCCTCTGGGACGGAGATGATGGGGTAGCACTGAAACATTTGCAGCTGCGGGAGGGAAAAAAGGGAGAGTATTCTTTAAAAAGACACATTTTAGAGAACAATGGGTAGACTCTTTCACGGTGAACCAAGCTGTTAACATTACATAGCACATGTGCTTTCGGTACAAGGTTACATTTTACCTCTTATATTGAGGGCCTGCCGGTTTTTGGGTTAACGTGCAGCACAACTAACCCCCCCACACACACACACACCCAATTCTCTGGGATGATCGCTTCACCCCTCCCCCCCACTGCGTGGCTAACAGCGGGGATGATTTCTTTTCAGCCACAGGCACACAGCCTAGCAGGAATGGCCACCTCTGAATGTCCCCTTAATACAATTCCCCTCTTTCAACCAGGTGACCATGAATGATATCACTCTCCTGAGGATAACACAGAGAGAGAAAGAACGGATGTTGCTTGAATGCATTCCAGTAACTGTACTGGCTGCGAATGCATCCCAAGTCTTCAGGTCCAATTAATCATTAAACATGCTTGCTTTTAAACCAAGTATTATATTTACAAAGGTACAATCACCAGAGGTGCCTTCTCCGCCTTCAAGGTCCGGGAGCCTGCCTTGGGAGGGTATTGGCTCCAAGGTGATAAACAGTTCCTGGCTGTCGGGGAGAATGGTTTCGCCGCTTGCCTGCTGTACGCTACCCTCCTCCTCCTCATCATCATCAGCTTCCTCGTCCCCAAAATCCTCATCCCTGTTGCGTGAGACTCCCCCCTTTCAGGAGTCCACAAACAGGGGTGGGTAGTGGTGGGGGCATCCCCTAGAATTGCATGCAGCTCATCATAGAAGAGGCATGTCTGGGGGTCTGACCTGGAGCGGCTGTTTGCCTCTTTGGTTTTTTGGTAGGCTTGCCTGAGCTCCTTAAGTTTCACGTGGCACTGCTGCAGTCCCCGTTATAGTCTCTGTCTTTCATGCCCTTGGAGATTTTTTCAAATATTTTGGCATTTCGTCTTTTGGAATGGAGTTCTGATAGCACAGATTCATCTCCCCATATAGCAATCAGATCCAGTACCTCCCGTTCGGTCCATGCTGGAGCTCTTTTGTGATTCTGGGACTCCATGGTCACCTCTGCTGATGAGCTCTGCACGGTCACCTGTGCTGATCAGCTTGCCACACTGGCCAAACAGGAAATGAAATTCAAAAGTTCGCGGGGCTTTTCCTGTCTACCTGGCCAGTGCATCTGAGTTGAGAGTGCTGTCCAGAGCGGTCACAATGGAGCACTCTGGGATAGCTCCCGGAGGCCAGTACCGTCGACTTGTGTCCACACTACCCCAAATTCGACCTGGTGATGTCGATTTCAGCGCTAATCCCCTCGTCGGTGAGGAGTACAGAAATCGATTTTAAGAGCCCTTTAAGTCAACAAAAATGGCTTCGTTCTGTGGACAGGTGCAGGGTTAAATCGATGTAACGCTGCTAAATTCGACCTAAACTCGTAGTGTAGACCAGGGCTGTGAAACACGATGACAGCGAGTTCCTCAGAGGATATTCCCCTTTCAACCAGTATTTCTTGATTTTGCTCTGATTTAATCTGGGTCAGCTATACTTCATCTTGCAAGCATTGTGACATCCTGGTTATATCTTAGAAAATGAGATACACAACTGTGGTTTCAACTGTGTTGAAAGTTAATGAGTCTTTATTGAGTTGTAGCCTTCATCCATTGCAATGCAAAAGTTAGGGGTTTTTTAAACCACCACTAAGGATTTTATCTCTGTGCTGTGACCTCAGAGTTGATTGTGAGGCATCCAAGATGTTAACCATGGTCATGTGATTTTGGAGTTTGGTTGGCATTAGAATTTAAATATTTTTGTATAGAAATAGGAGTTTGGGAAGGTCATCTGAATTGAGTATGTACTTTTCAAATTCTGGATGGGCTATTGCATTTTTCAGGGAGGATGGCATGTTCTCTTCTCTGAAGGATGCATTTATTATTTATAAATTTTACAGTTACTTTTCACTAGCTTTCGCAAGCCAAGAAAGGGTATATATCACTTTTGCATGCAGTGGGTTAAATGTTTGTAAGGGCTTCCAGGCATGTCATTGTGTGTGAAGGATTCTGTTAGGGGAGGGTGTGACAGTTAATGTTGTGTGGTTCAGTTCCAGATTTTCAGCCTTCGCAAGTCTTCTCGTTGATGATTTCTGCAAAGTAGGATGAATGCTCTGCCAGTGGTTGGTGCTTGAGTACAATGTTTGGATTAATGGTAAAACAGATTCTTTCAATCTTATTCCACATCATCAAATTAAGTTGTCAATTCCTGTGACTGTTTGTTCTTTTTTATGCTACCAACACTTTTAAAGTCTCTTACTAATATCTCTCTGTAACTACACTTAATGATTAGAATACCACTTCTGTTATACTGGAGATAAAGCGCTGATTCTGTTGCGATGAAAAAAATTAGGACTGTAAATTCTTGTCCCCAGATTCCCTAACAGATGTTGTAAGTACTGTTGTTTGGAGACTTACAAATTTTACTGGCATATCTAGCAGACTAAGATGTCTTTCAAATGTGTTTACAAATAAAACAGAAAAGTTCAAATATGCTAACTGTAAATATACCTAAATTCAAGAGCACTGAATTAGTTTTCTTTCAACTTATCTAATGACATCTGTGGTACAAACCAGTCCAAATGTGACATGTCTAGCCTGATCCATTTTAGAGTTATCCAAGCACAATATTTCTGATACATCTGTATGGAGAAAATGTGTTCTGTTCTCCCTCCCCTCCTTCTTTAATCCCCTCCCCCCCAATAAAAAAATAGCTTATGTTGTGTTTGCCCCATCCTCCCTCCTTCAGGTATCCCCCTCCCCCTCCTCCCCATATATATTTTTAAAAAATAGTTTAACAGATTAGGTTCAACTGAAAAAGAGGTTGTTAAAATGAAAGCTGGAATTCAACCTTAACTTCAGACAAGACCAAGGAAATGCCTGTTAGCTGATAAAAACAGTTGGAACAATAATCTGATGATTACATGTCCCTCAGTAGGAAAGTGTTCACTGTTTGTGATAACGTGTTCACAGTCTGAGGGTGTTGCTAGAACCCCATATGCTTTTGGGTGCCTAAGTAGCAGCAGTGACCAGAAGCAGTACTACTTTGTGTGTGCTTGGCTAGAAGGTTGTGACCTTTTTCTTTGGACTCTGCTGCTGCTATCTGTGCCTCAAGATTAGATTACTTTAACCAGCCTCTTGGTGGGACTAAATTTTGGAGACTATTCAAAATCTTCACCTTGCTTGTCGGTGTGGATTGATTTAAATCAGAAAAACGGAAACCTTGATTTAAATAATCAATTTTAATCTTGATTTGTGTTTATACTTTTTAGTTATTTTCCTGAGGAAAGGTTGATTCGCATTGGTTGGTAACTACTGCCACTAAATACAGCCTTTACATTAAATGCGGTACTGTTTTTTGCTAACTGGAAGGATATATTGTATCTATAGACATTTACTTAAGCAATTTATATAGCTTAATTGACATTTATTCAGATTCTTAATTTTTATATTTATATTATGTTAGAAAATGGTGAATGATACATTTCTTATTTACTAGTTAATTTACTTTTAATTTGCATCAAGCTCTATTTGAATGGAAATTGAGTCAATTAAAATGCACAAAAACAGCATTTTAAAATTATTTATGAGTTAAATAAAACTACCTTAATGTGCTGGATAGATAAGGGGGGAAAAAGTTTATCAAAGCATGTTTTGCATCTAAAACTAAAACAAAGGCAGTATTATCTGTAGTTAGTGGATTGATCAGATTGTTTCTGGTCACCATGTCCTTTAGGGTTTTAGAACTAGTAGATCTCATCCTCTCACACTTAACTTTTATTCACAGAGTGGGAGAAAAAAAACAAGCTTTCCTGATTTGTCAACTGCCATTGGCTCCTTAACTGTGAATGAACTAGTCATTGAACTGAATTAGTTGAATAAACTGAAAGTAAGAAAATATTTTCTCTGTACCTGTGAAAGAGGCTACTGCTGTCAAAAGCTAATTTAGCACTTCAACAAACTAAAGTCTTGAAAAATCAGATTTTTTTTTTTTTTAAACCTGGGTGTTTATTCATCCAGTTGCTTGGTCAGCAGAGCTTCTTAGAGGGAATATATTACACCTGTGCTGTATGGTTTGGATTGGAGTCTGTCTGTTGCCCAATGAAATTTAAGAGCCTGGTTTTAATCAAAAGGCTCTAAATGGTTTGGGTCCTAATTTCTGAAGAAAGTTTCCCTCTCGTTGTCTGGTAGTATAGCAGGTGAGATCTGTGGAGGTGCTTGAGCTAGCAATACCCAGGTATAACTGGAATGGGGTTGCTGGTAGGGCTTTCAACTCCGGAACTTACTCACTATCTTTCCTTGGTTGGACACAGCCTGAGTCTGTTGACCTTGTGGGCATTCTGAAGGCCTCTGTTTTTTTCAGACATTTGAGAAAGGCCTGGATGAGAAGAGTTTAAGCCAGTTTATGGGGTATTATTTATTAAACTAGACAGATAGAAGAGTGAGGAAGTGTCTAAGGGGGCCTGATCTCCAGGGTATTGTACCTGCCTTTCTTGCCCCATATAGTAACTTTTTAAAAGTCAGATTTTTTTTTCAAATAAGAGTTGTATATTAATTAAAAAAAAATCAAGACAAACTAGTGTTTCTGACATAACAGATTTCTATAAATAATGGATTTTCACAGAAGATATTTTTGTGGCTATTTCAGGAAATGCTTCAAAGAGCATCAGAAGAATTCTCTCCAAAGATGGAGATTCCTGAGGAGGAGATGGATACAACTGATACCCAATGGGGCTGGTTTTACTTGGCTGAATGTGGCAAATGGCATATGTTTCAGGTATCTAAACATTGGATTATGTTATCTGTGATAACTTCCACACTTCAAATGTACTGTATTTAAACTTGTCCTTTCTGGTTTGTTTTGAAGACTGATTCAAACACTCAGTGTTCAGTTAGCAGTGAAGACATTGAAAGGAGCTTCAAAATGAATCCAGAAGGCTCTGTTTCTTTTACTACTGCAAAATTTAACTACAAGTTAGACTTTTCAGGTATGTCTTTCTCTAACAATAAAGTATTTATATATTTTTAGGTTTCTCATGACAAGAGTTGACCAGTGCATCTTACATGCTGTTGGCCTCAAGTGTCTCTTTTATTGTAGTGCAAAAAAGCACAATTGGGAAGGCCTTCTTTATATGAATGTACATTTGACATTTTATGGAGACAGTTATGTGGTTCAGCCTTCTAGCTTTGTTACTGTAAGTAGCATACCCTGTTCAGTAACACTGGTGTTTGTCCTGTCTCCTCTCACTTGAGATATAAGTGGTGCTTTACCGTATACTCAGAGAAATGGGAACACCAAAAGTTTGTTTTCTTCTAAATATTCAAGCAGCAAGTGTTGTAGAAAACGATTTTCTGTCTTCACAAACTCTATATAAGTAATGTTGATAAAGTGACAATATAATTCAGCTGGCAGATACTTCAACAATCCAACTCTGATATGTTCATCAGAGCATCGGATATCATTCTCTAGAAAATGACTTTATGTAAAGATCTCATATATTCATATTGTATGGACTCTTTATCACAGGTTACTGATGGTTTCCAGTGTAGTTACTATGTCGTTAATTTTAAATACGTTTTATTATGTAGAAAGTTGCAATGTAATGGCTTCCCATTCTGAATATTTCAAATATTGCACTTATAGTTTCATCTGTATTTTCATATTAAACTGACCAAAGGCCTGTCATGCTCACGTGATGTGGATGTTCTGTTTTGGGATAGCAGTCTCTGTATTCTGATCTTACTCTACGGTTGTAGGGTAATACAGTGGTGGACTGTATGAAAATATGTACATTCATGCAGAATTTTGAATTTTGTTAAATACTTTTTCAAATAGCTTCTTTAGAGTTTACTTTAAAAAAACAGATTTTGTAAACTATATTTAAATCTTGAATCTTTGCTTAAAAATGCTAAAGGCAGTTGTTAAGCATAACAATTTTCACCATACTGTTAATATAGTATCACTTTTATATTTAAATGTGGTACAAAGATGTTAGCTTCTGCACTGCATTAAAATTAGCATTTAGATGCAGAAGTCTAGAGTGTAATCCTGGCCTTATTAAAATCAACGTGAGTTTTGTCATTGGCTTAAATGTGCCAGGATTTCACCATTAGTAAATATGCACTGTCTGTCTTAAGTACAGTACTTATTTAGTACTAATTCCCATGGTATGTGGGAGCTCTGCTAATGTTTTGTGCGTTCTAGTAGTAGTAGTGTTGGAGAATAATATTTTGAAATGCTTTTCTCAACACTTGAGACAATAATTTCTATTCAGCAACCCTAAAAATATCATTTTCTGGGTACTGTGCTATGTCCAAACACTTTACATTTCTGTAGATTGAATGTTTCTGGTACTCACTTAATTTTCATTATATACAGTGATGAAACAAACCAATCTGACTACTGGAAAACAGCGTCCAATAAAGCGAGCTCCCTTTTCTATCAGTGCTTTCAGGTAAGAACTAAAGGTGGTTCACTGTTGGTTCAATTCATCGTTCCTCTAGTAAGATGAACTAGAAACATTTTAAAATTTCTTCATTATTTTTTACCCTCCTCAAATTAAATCTGGGGACACAGATTGGAGCGGGAAAGCGAAAGAGGAGGAAATCTCTCCTTGCCCATTAAAAATAACTATCCACAGTTTGAATCCCCATTCAGGACCCAAGCGGTGTGTCAAATTATAGATTAGTGCAAAATTCTGTACAGAGTAGGAATCCTATTGGGGGAAGAGAAAAGCTTCAACTCTTGTGTGTGATTTAACTTATATTTTTGTGTTTTAAGTTATATCTGTGAAAATGAGGCTATCCCAATGCCTTCACACTGGGAGAATGTAAATACAGAGGAACCGTATCAGGTAAGAGCTATTATGACATGGAACATACATATGATGAAACAACAATGGACTTCAGTGAAACTATACTAACCTCTCTTTTTCCAGCTTATTCCTTTGCAAAAACAAACAAATGAATATAATGAAGTTTCTAGTCTCTTTGGGAAAACAATGGATAGCAACCGAATTAAAAGAATTCAGAGAATTCAAAATCTAGACTTGTGGGAGTTTTTTTGCAGGTGAGATTATTTCTAAAACAAACATTGTACTAGGTCTGCTAATAGAATAAATCTCTTTTAAAGGCATGCAGCAGAAATAGTTAAATGCATCTAATTATAAAACTGTTGGAATACTTATTGTGTATCTGCACCCTTTCTGCATCTGGTCTCTGTCTTCTGTTCCCTAATTGGTCCTGCTCTTGTGTTTATAGTCATATATCAGTATTCCTATTAAAGATCCTGATTTTATTATGGATTTGGAATTTAATGATACTTCTGTAACAACCGTAAGCTAAAGATCACAAACTGCTTAAAACTTGAAAAGCAATGAGAAAATTGAAAAGCACTGTTGCAATAAAAATTTCTTTTGGGCTGAAATTTGATATGCAATTTCAAAGGTTTTATATTTAAATTTAAACTAAAGAAGAATTTTTTTTTTAAAGGCATGTAAAGCAATCTTTGTTTCAGATCAAATTTTTATTTTGGTCACTAAGGTCAGCAGGTACAACTCAACATGCACATGGAGCAGATTTTTGGGCTAAGAAGGTACCATTTTTACAAAATCCCTTTTCAGACTAGAACTGCACTTTAAATTGATTAAGCAGTGTTTCAATTTCCTGATTTACCAGTTGTGAAAAATACACTGTCTTTGATATAGAGGAAAAAGTAAAACCGCACAGATTGTAGATTGGCATTCACAGCCTTTGCCATTTACTGTTATAGTCTTAACATTCCTAGAATGTATCTGTTTTTTCTAGAGATGAGTCCAGATGCCTTTGAACTTTGAAGAAGTTCACATCCAAATCTGAATTTAACTTTGCAGCTATTTTTCAATTATTTAAAAAAAAAAATTTTTGAAAGGCTTTATCAAAAGTTGTATTTGTCTGAAACAGGGAAGCTATGTCTCTGCAGTTGTTAGTCTCTTGGCGAAATTGACATTGAAAAATGTTTCTAATTTTGAATGGTTGTATGAATGGTTTGATGTGAATTCCTCCTTGGTTATTAAAGGAGTTGAATAGCTGAATGTCCCTAGCCCATGTTGCTAGAAAAATATTGTCCCTAGCCCATGTTGCTAGACAATAAGGTACCAGACTTGACCACAGTTTAGTGATCATTTTTAATATATCAAATCTTTGAACAGTAAATAATCATCCAACTGGTAAAGAATGTGTGGCAACTTTAGAGAGCTCCCTCATCAACATATGGAAAGGAAGAGCACAAGCATAGCTACCTTGTCATGAAGGATAACATTGGGTTCCCTTCTAATCCTCTGTATGAGCTGGCTGGTAGAGGTGACTACAGTCATTGTTCTCAGAAAGTATATGTAGTGGACCCCAAGGTATTGTTATGATGGAGTGAACAGGTCACAACAGACTCCTTGTAAAATGAGCCTTCACAGGGTTGTATTCGTTGCATGTCTAGTGAGGCAAAACAAATACTCCTGATTTGTCAAGTTTCTCACCTTACCATCTCTTTATGAATTTTGGTGTAGGGTGAAGTGTCTGTGTTGGATCCAGCTCTATGCAGCAAATCCAAGTTTAGTCTGTCAGTATTGCAGAAGCCATTGCTGGCTTGAGCCTTCCTGCTTTCTTTCCCACTAAATATTGTATGGGGCAGGGTGAGTTAGGAGTTCTTGAGTTTTGTTCCCACCTCTTCTCTGATCAGTCTTTATTTAATATTTGCATTTCAGAAACATTATGAATCACACGGTTGCCCTTGGAAATGTCAATATGTACCTTTCTAAAAAGGGAATTTATAAAAAGTCAGCATGAAGATATATTGGACCATTATGACAATAAAATCAATAAGTAAAAAATGAAAAAATATTAAGTTGTTACATGGGCTTAAAAGGTGCTATGCTGTAGATGAAATTGTATGGTATATTGTATTTGAGAAACACCTTGTGATCATGTAATTGCACGCTTATAGTGAATATTTACAGAGAGAGGTGTCTTAAGATTGCATATTGAGTCTTAATTTTCTCATTTCCTGGCTTATGAGTGATTAATTTTTGCAACTTTAGCCTTCTCTTAATGTATTGGTATGGAATGTATTTAAGTATATAAATACATTCTACAGTTAAAAAGTTTATTTGCTTTGATTGGCAATTTTACTACTTTGAAGCTTGTATATCTAACAGTGTCCCTGTTGTAACAATTTATTGCTTTAAAGTGGATTTCTATAGAGGTATCTCTGAATCTATAGAGGTTTTTCAATTTGTGGCATACTTCTATGAATAAGAATATCAAGAAATGATACTAGATCCCCACTGACTTCTGAGTTCGCAGTGCAGATTTGTGTTCTCTTTGATTTTCTACCTTTTGCTGAAAAAAGGAATTGATGAGCAGCAGGGACCACTGCACACAATTAAGTGTGTGCTTTAAGAACGCCAAAGCTATGGAGTTCCCACTACCCCATTTTTGGAAACATGAACTCAGGAATGGGAATCTGTTATTGCGTGCAGTATGATTATTACAGTATTGCAATATTACTGTGTGTGTTAATTGCAAAGTAATATACAGTATTAAAATTCCATGCACAATGGAGTATAAAGGCATGAGGGGAATCCTCTCGGTCCAGAAACTGCTTGCCCTTATTTTTTCACAGGGGGGAAAACCTAAAGATTTGTATCAAAGTCACAAGGATGGCTGGCAATGGTCTCAGAGGCTCAGCTGCTTTCTGGGGTGAAATAACGTATTTGTGTGTCTGACCCAGTCATTTGGAGCAGATGAACCTCATCACTAAGATGCTGATTTTGTCATGGATATTTTTAGTAAAAAGTCATGGAGAGGTCATGGGCAATAAACGAAAAGTCATGGAAGCCGTGACCTGTCCCTGACTTTTACTAAAATCATCCCTGACAAAAATGGGGAGGGAAGAGAGTCCAGCACCCTGCTCTCCCCCCCCACCCCGAAGCAGCTGGGAGCTGCAGGTACTCCATTGCCCAGTGGCTGGGAGGGGTCCCCCACTGCCCTACGGGGCTGGGAGCTCTGGGGGGGGGGGGGTCCCGCAGTGGCAGGGGAGCTGGAGGGGGGGAGGGAGAGGTTGAGGCCGATTCCCCACTCTGGCACTACAGAAGGTGGGGGCCCGCAAGGATTATAAAAATTAATACTGGCCACTCCAGGCTTGTATTGAACTCCCAAGGTTACAGCTTTTTTCTGACCTTGGATGGGTAGATGCTGCCACCACCCAAGTGCAAAACCCCTTTGAGAACCTAGGAAGGTGCACTTGGGAATTCCTCCCTGTGGGGTACCCTCAAGCCCTTTCACCCCACTGCCAGGGAAAAGCTGAGAATGAAAAACAGGAAATCAGCTGTTGCCACCAGCTAATTAAATAACGTGCACAAACCTCTTAGGAACCAAAAATCCAATTCTGTTCTTAAAAAAAGGTAAAGTTTATTAAAAAACAAAACGAAGAAAATACATCTGGAAACTTAGGCTATTGCTAGATTTTAAAAAGAGCAACTACCATCAAGAATAGTTTCTTGAGGTCCAGCTTAAAGGTTACAAGCAAAACAAAAGCATCTTGGGTTAGCACAGAGGAGTCCACAAGCCATAAAGAAATAAAAAGAGATAAACCTAATTGCCTTTTCCTAGACATTTCCTGATCTGCTTACATATCTGGGGTTTCAAATGAGTAGTTTCTAGGTATGATACCGATGATTTTTCATATAGGGTGACCAGATTTCCCGATTTTATAGGGACAGTCCTATATTTGGGGCTTTTTTTTATATGGGCTCCTATTACCCCTCCCCCCCATCCCTGTCCCGATTTTTCACACTTGCTATCTGGTCACCCTATTTTCATACCTGGCCCCAAGCTTCTTACAGGATAGTTGCTGCCCTGTTTGCCTCTCCCCAGGAGAACAACCACAGACAGACAAAAGGGCAGTCTTGTTTCAATTTTTAAAAGTTCTAGCCTTCCCATTGGCTCTTTTGGCCAGGTGTCCACTTATTTCCTTTTACCTATGCATAGCAGTGAGACTTTTTAACCCTTTACAGGTAGAGCAATTAGAGAACAGCCACTAAGAGGGATTTTATAGCTACTGGCTGGTTGGCTACTTAGATGGTAGAACTTTGAGCTGTATTTGAGGGGCAGAATCAACTTTGGTCACTTCTCTCAAATTCAGCTGTTGCAGTATCATTTCTCCTCTCAGTTTCTGTCCAATTCCAGTTTGATTACAAAAGCTTTTGTAATGCTATGCTTTTTTTGTAGGAAAAAAGCTCAGCTAAAGAAGAGAAGAGGTGTCCCTACCATTAATGAACACATGTTATTTCATGGTACCAGCAATGAATTTGTAGAAGCAATATGCATTCATAACTTTGACTGGAGAATAAATGGTATGCATGCTGCTGTGTATGGAAAAGGTAAGCTGTAATGACTCCTTTAATACCACTCCATGTAATTTTTGAGTAATACACTTCTTTTGCTCTTCCCTCTCTAAACATATAATGGTGTCCCACAAATGCATTTACCATACTGTGGTCTGTAGGGCATTTGCTGTTGGTCTGTGGAGAATGGTTTAATCTGTCTCTCTTCTTCCTGCTAAATGTGATAAAAAGACAGCTAAAATATATTAAGTAAGCAATTCCTGTAGTTACCACAGTTGGATATTATGCAGTAGGGTGGGGCAGAAGGGTAAGCCGGTCATGGGGCAATCTCCCAACTAAGATGTGGTTCACACTGAAAAAGCTTGGGAAGCACAGCACTAGTATAATTCTTATAAATTTTGCTGGATTGATTATGAATATAAAACTGAGATATATGGCCTGATTCAGATCTTACACCATTTTGATGTAAGAAGGGATCAGAATCAAGCCCTCTATATTTCATAATGAGACTATTTTCATCGGGTATAAATTTTGCTGTTTGTTTTTTAAGGGACCTATTTTGCAAGAGATGCATCGTACTCCAGTCGTTTCTGCAAAGACGATATGAAGCATGGAGACACTTTTCAAATCCATGGTGTCAATCTGCAACATCATGTGTTCAGAACGTATAAAGTTATGTTTCTTGCTCGTGTTTTAACTGGAGACTATGTCATCGGAGATTCCAAATACATGAGACCTCCTTCAAAAGATGGGAGCTTTGTAAACTTATTCGACAGCTGCGTGGATAGTACTTGGAATCCAAAGATCTTTGTTATCTTTGATACCAACCAAATCTACCCTGAATATTTAATAGAGTTCTGTTAAGTTTTGCAAGGAGCCAAACTGAATATTAGGTTGGTTGTGATGGATGGTCAGTATGTCTTTGCGAAGGAAATATAACTTACAATTCTTTTTTAAATACACGGTGGTGAACAGGGATGGAGATGTGAAGGAAAATCTGGCTTACATCTGTAAAATCCTTTTGGCTTAAGGTTGGTTGTCCATCTGTTAGTCCTGTAAATAAACGTTGATGCTTTTCATATTTAGGGTTTATAAAAAAATTTAATATGGCTTAGCTGAGCCTTAATTAAATTGGACATTTAATGTCTTCAAAGAATTCTTACTGCTATACATTTTTTTAAAAATAATACATATGTATTTATCCATGTGTAAAATATATATTTATGCATATGATACAGTATGTGTACAGATGAATAATCTTTTATAAAGATTTTATTTATAATTTTACAAAATGCAGGGGGCTTAATAGTTATTGGTATATTGCAGTATGTATTACTTGTAGATAGGAGTTTAAATCTACAGAACAATCCGTCTAGGGAAAGCAAAGGTCTGGAATCATAGAATATCAGGGTTGGAAGGAACCTCAGGAGGTCATCTAGTCCAACCCCCTGCTCAAAGCAGGACCAATCCCCAGACAGATTTTTGCCCCAGATCCCTAAATGGCCCCCTCAGGGATTGAGCTCACAATTCTGGGTTTAGCAGGCTAATGCTCAAACCACTGAGCTGAACCAGCTGCTAGGACTAAATCTAGGTCTCTCATACTGCTTCAAGCAACCTTGCAATAATGCTGTGCAACCTGTAAGTTGAAGTCTGGTTGTGACAGAATAATATACTTGACAGCATTTGTGGTCAGTAATTAGGTAGGTATTTAGCCCTAGAGTCCTCTGCTAGGATCTCTTATGTGATCTATAGAATTGTTATTTAATAGTAAAATGTGTTTTTTTGTCATCTCCCCTCCCTCCCTTTGAATATGTGTGTGTATGTAGCCGGCTTCTGTTTGTATGCTACTGTCTTTCTATAGCTTGGCTGGAATTTTAAGATGCACTCAGTGTTGACATGACTCTACTTCCATTGAAGTTGATGGTAATACTCTATTGAATTCAATGGAAACAAGAATTAAACCAAAATGAAGGGCTTCTAAAAATTCCATCCCTTAATTTTCCCTATGTTTCATGACTGGTTTTAATAATACTTGTATGTGCTGATTTTATGTAAACCAATTTTCTTTCCATTTGCATAGATGCAGAGTATGGACTGTTTTTGCCAGGTAGAATCTGATTGGGGAGGAGAAGAGGGACCAGAAGAAAGATCAGAAAGACCTAAACTCCTGAAGAAGGGGGACTGAGGTGTTAAATGAGTAAAAACACATTGGCCTTCCCTCATGAGACTGCCTCTTTGGATCCCTGCTCTTGGATTCTTGCCCTGTCACACAGACCTTAGATATACTCAAAGTTGTGTTAGATTTCTGGCATGGGAGGGAGCATATTACTGCACATGCCCAGCCTGGCATTATGACCCAGCTAATAGAGACATGTATCCCCTCCTCCCTAAGTCCTTTATCTGTGTCTGTTCATGGACTCTTGCAGTCACACCACATGTTGGTTATTTGTGTTCTTTGAAATTTCTTGGAAACTTTTCCTCGACTTTTCTTCTTCAGCTGTTCAGGGCAGGGACTGTGGCTTCCTTTGTGCTTGTACAGTACCTAGCACAATGGGCCTCCTGAGTGGGATCTCTGGGTGTTATTGCAATGATAACCAGTGATTGGTGCTATAGAACGGTAAACCTTCACTAATCCACAAGCCTTGTAATACACACATGCATGCACACACATTAAGGCGACATCTACACTGTGAGCTAGGGGTGTGAGTCCCCTGCTCATGTGTACATACTTGAGCTAGCATGAGTATAAATAGCAGTGTAGCTGTGGTAGCATGGGTAGCAGCCGGGGAGGAATGACTAAGCCATCCCAGTGTGAGTATGTGTACACAAGCAGAGGGAATCACCCCTAGGTTATAGTGAACCCTCCCGACTTCTTATCAGAGATTTACTAGCAAATGCGGTAGGGTGTCCTCAGACTAAGTCCTCTTTATTTTTATAAAATATTCTACAATACATGTACTTGGACATTATGAAATTATAAGAAGTCAAAATAAAAAAAGTTGTACCCTTTTGTTTGTTCACTCACTAATTTCCAAAATCCAGTAATTATTTTCCTCACATTTATTAGACTCATCTCAAGCTCTTCAGCTGGTGGGGCTAAGATAGGTTCCCCTGGCACCTTGATACTGTCTATAAAGAATGCCTGTGGTACCAGTTAAATCTGCTCACTCCCTTTCCTCTGCCTGTGACTCTTCAGCAATCTTTGTACCCAGCACCTTGGTACTGTCCCTTTTAGTGGCTTTGCCCTATTTGACACAAGGTGACCTATCTGTGAGCCCGGTACCAGAGTCCCCCTGGCTAGCTCATATGTCAGCAGTACGACTAGGCCTTCGGTCACTGAAATCACAGTACCATGTACAGCTGTTGAGACATCTGTGCCATCTACTTCCCCTGTACAGGTAGAAAGGGTGCAGGAATGCTATAGTACAGTGGTCTCCAAAGTGGGGTGCGCGGCAGGAGGAGCGTTGTTGTTTTTTTTTTTTGCTTCGTCAGGCGGGAGTCTGAGCAGCCTTTTTTTTTTTTTTTTTTTTCTTTGGCACGGCAGGGGGTTCGTGCTCAAAAATTTTTTACTGATAGGGGTGCGCGATCAAAAAAGTTTGGAGACCACTGCTATAGTACACCAAGAAGGGTAGCTGTACCCCTGCAGGAGGTGGATTCCTTTTCATCTTCTCCACTGGGATATAGTAAAGATACATCTGTTCATCCCTCTTCCCTTCCAGAGGCACCACCTTGGAAGTCAGGGAGGGATTCCAGGGCTGCTCTTTGAGCAGCAAAAATAAGAATTAAGTTCTTGGCAACCTGATTTTTCTTAGGTTACGGGAGAGAGTAAATTCCACTCACTTCACATGTCATTTATAGGACTTGTCTACTCTTCATCTAAAAGACAAAGTAAAAAGGCCTGTGTTTTTAAGTACAGGCTGCAGCAGTGGTCAGATGGTTCAGCAAATGTAAGTTGAACAATCAGATTCAAAATGCCAGATGGTCTTGCTGGCTAATACACATCTTAAATGCATCTGGTGATGGTGAGGAGCACCTTGTATCTTTATCAGCAATACTGTCACCAAACGAACAACTCCTTTGGACTAATATTGTATTAAATTTTTCATTTTAAAAAGATTACAGATTTTAAACAAGTCAAACGAGCCAGAATAAATAGAGAGTGAAGTGTGGCTCTGTATAGAGACCTGGATCTGAACTGGGAGACAGGGCTTAGTTCCAGTACCTGCCACTGATGTGATGTGTAACCTTGGACAAGTCACTTCACTTCTATGTCTGTTTCCCTCCATCTTTTGTGTCTCATCTGTTTATAAGCTCTTTGGAGCAAGGATTGTCTAATGTATAGTTCCTAGCACCACCACACCATTGTACAAAACAAAAATACAGGTACAGACTGCATTATTGTGAGAAGGGTATTTAGGTCTTCAGGTGATCTTTGCAATAATTGAACAGCTGGCAAATTGTTCAGAAATCATCTAATTTTGATCATCAGCTAGGAATAGTCTCAGGAAGTAATCTTAAGTCCCCAACAGAATTTTGAGAATCAACTAGACATGTCCCAGAAAGAGAACATGGGGTATGTTTTATGTCAAGGTCAATACTTATTAACCAGTGAGAGTGACTTTTAAAAAGCTTTGTCATGTAATGTGGCTGCCTTAAATTTTTATAAATACAAAAAAAAAATCAGTGTTGTATTAATACTTAGCCCTTTGAAGATCTAAAGTGCTGTCTACATGTCAACATAATTACTTTTTTTTTTCTTTAAGTAGTGGCTCCAGACTGAGTTTTGACATAGAAGAAAGTTTAGTGAAAGAAATGTGACCCAAAGCAACACCTGTGGGGTAAGGACTGAGGGGAAGACTAAGTGGAGAAGAAAAACTGAAGAAACAAAGCTTTGGATAGTGGATGTGAAAGTCAACTAAAGTTTGGGGTGGGGAGTGTAATGAAAAAAAGTGTCTCCACACCCACCTTCTGTGCAGGCTTCCTGAATGCTCAGCTCCTACCCAGTATGCTGTGCTGGAGATGGAGCGCGGCACTGAGAGCCAGGAAGCCTGATGTGGGTCACACTCCCTCTCTGACCCCTCTGAGTCAGGTAAAGGGCTCAGAGTAGTGTAAAGAGACTCTAAAAGCCTTTGATCTGACTAGCACAGAGTTCTCCCAGGGCAGGAACTGAGGAAGACAGTGATAGACCTCCTTGCAAGCCCTCGTGTAAGAGGTGTGTTGGGGGCTGGGCCAAAACACACAATGGTGTGTAGCTTCTGGGCAGCACTTGTGTCCCTGGGCAGCTGGGGTTAGGTTGCCATAACTTCGCGCACACACACAGAGTCTAAATTACACTGGGTGCTTGTTGGGCCCCTGCAACAGCCCAAAACTGAGAATACTGAAAGCCGTTTTATCCTCACTCACCCTGGGGTGTGAGTTCTGAGCTGGGCAACATGCCTATGACATAATTACAATACCCATTTTATCACCATGTCATAATTGACCAGTCAACGCTGCTGAGAAAAGTTCTGTTTTATATTTGGGAAGTCAGAGCAATCAGGATGATATTGTTCCAAATATTTCTGCTTTCAGACAGGCCAGTTCTACTCACTTATGCATGACACTATTTGGAGAAAATATTGTTCAGATCTTAAATATTTAGCTTCTGTGGTTGTACAGTGCAATGGACTAGGTTGGTCCTTAGGCATTCATGTAATAAACATGATTAATAACAGACCCCAATATAATGAACTTCCTCCTGCTGTTTTGAAAAAAGTCTCTATCAAACAAGTTGGTAAGATTGTCAGTTTCCCTCTGACCCATAAGCCCTTTAACAAATACATTGCATTGTAGAGAAAGTATCTCCCTGAAATATCTTGTAGCACCTTTCATTTAAAGGTCTCAAACCACTTTACAAACATTGACTGACAACCTTATTAAAGGTCCTATAAGGTAGGCAAGTACTAGAGAGAGAGAGAACCTTCTGCAATCTCTGCAATGCTACTGTTTCTGGGGTAGAATACAGCACCCATATAACCATGCACAGCAGTACTTTACAGGGGGAATTTAGCTAGACGATGTGTAATTATGTGTATTGAATTTTGTCCGAGACACCTTTTCTCTTAAGAAAATTTTTCCAAGATCCCTAATTACAGTATATTGGCAAGACCTTGGCTTTATGTCTTATCGAAAGGACAGCACCTCTAGCACTACATAGTGTGCTACAATGAAGTTGGGGTTCAGTACAGGCTTTGAGGGAAGTGTACCACTTAGTGAATGACTGATACTGCCTCCTGTAGCTAGGTTTTCCTAGAATCCATTCTATCCAAATGCTAATCCAGTTTAGTTTGAAAAATCTGAAGGGGTATAGCTGCAAAGTGAGACATGAATAAGAAAATGTACATACATTTTTTCAGCTCCCAGTGGGAGTCTTTTCATTAACTTCAGAGGGAGTCTGATTGGGCCTGAAGAGAAGAGGATCAGAGTAGCATGGAAGAAATGACTAACAAACTAGGCGACATACAAAGAGGGAACATTCAGCTTTTTTTAGCATTAAGAGGGGGAATAAATAAGCCACAGTAGATCAGATGGTTAATGTCATTTTGCTTTGAAAAACTCAAGTGGGAGCAAGCAGTGTTTTCGAGCACCCAGAAGCATAAGGTACTGAGCATTAGATGGTGGGAGACAAAAGGCCATAGCTTCAGGAAGGGACACAAGATAAAGCACACTTTAAAGGTCCTGATTTTTAAGCTGTTGATTTGCACAAACTTACACTGTATGTTAATCCATGTTCTTTATGATTCTGAAAAGAAGTGCCAGTTTATGCAGTAGTCCTAATTAACTGCACAATCTTGTGCCAGTTTTGACTAATTACAATACAAGGTTTTTTAAAAAGAACAAAACACTTTCTAATCCAAATCAGTGTATTGAATCTTTTTCATGGTTATTTATTTTTTGTACATTAAAGACTGATTAATTGATTTTAAGAGTGTTTCTGGTATTATTTAATAGTTTCAGTGCAACCTAGTTAAACATAGATACCCCCAAATCTCCCAAATCACAACTTGGAAAAAAAAAAACCTTATCAAGGCAAAGTTACAATAAAATATGAACATACTGCATTGTATATTACTTATTCAGGAACAAATTAATATTCAAAGATCCTGGCTAACGATTCTGCCTTGCTGGCTATGGAGTCCTCCTCCTCTAAGTATGCTAAAGACCGTGATCAAATTTCTTTTTAGCACTTCTCTTGTGCAGACACTAGGTGTGAAAGGTTTTGCATTACAAGGATAGATTTTACTATACCATAATTCCATAGAAGTCACATTTTTTCCAATAGGCAATATAAAGTACAGCTGCTAACAATAAAAAAATTAATTTGTCTTGTTTAAAATTAGGACTGTCAATCGCAGTTAACTCAGGCAATTAACTCAAAATAATCGCAGTTAAAAAAATGGTGATTAATCGCAGTTTTAATTGCACTGTTAATTGAATACCAATTGAAATTTATTAAATATTTTGGATGTTTTTTCTACATTTTCATATATATTGTATTCTGTGTTATAATTGAAATCAAAGTGTATATTATTTTTATTACAAATATTTGCACTGTAAAAATGATAAAAATAGTAGTTTTCAATTCACTTCATACAAGTACTGTAGTGCAATCTCTTTGTTGTGAAAGTGCAACTTACAAATTAATATTTTTGTTACATAACTGCACTCAAAAACAAAACAATGTAAAACTTTAGTGCCTTCAAGTCCACTCAGTCCTACTTCTTGTTCAGCCAATCGCTAAGACAAACAAGTTTGTTTACATTTATGGGCGATACTGCTGCCCTCTTCTTATTTACAATGTCACCAGAAAGTGAAAACAGGCATTTGCATGGCACTTTTGTAACTGGCATTGCAAGGTTTTTATGTGCCCCTTCATGCTTCAGCCACCATTCTGGAGGACGTTTCCATGCTGATGTTGCTTGTTAAAAAAATGTGTAAATTAAATTTGTGACTGAAGTCCCGGGGGAGAATTGTATGTCCCCTTCTTTGTTTTACCCACATTCTGCCATATATTTCATGTTATAGCAGCCTTGGATGATGACCCAGTACATGTTGTTTATTTTAAGAACACTTTCACTACAGATTTGACAAAACGCAAAGAAGGTCCCAATGTGAGATTTCTAAAGATAGCTACAACACTTGACCCAAGGTTTAAGAATCTGAAGTGCCTTCCAAAATCTGAGAGGGATGAGGTGTGGAGCATGCTTTCAGAAGTCTTAAAAGAGCAATACTCCAATGTGGAAACTACAGAACCCGAACCACCAAAAAAGAAAATCAACCTGCTGGTGGCATCTGGCTCAGATGATGAAAATGAACATGTGTCGGTCTGCACTGCTTTTGGATTGTTATAAAGCAGAACCCGTCATCAGCATGGACGCATGTCCTCTGGAA